CCCCAAACCCTAATCCTGCCTTTTTCCGGAGAAACACTTGGAATTTTCCCAAATTACGGGGGAGAAAAGGCCAACCCCAACCGGCGGAGGCCCCAGTGAGATTCGAACTCACGACCCCTGGTTTACAAGACCAGTGCTCTAACCCCCTGAGCTATGGAGCCGGGGCAAAGCCCCTTTTTTTCCCCTTTTCGCCCCAAAAGCCCACCGCCCGCGGGGGGTGGGGGGATGCTCCCCGGTGCGTTCCCTTGGGAAAAATCCGGGAATCAAGGAGGCTGGAAGCCGGGGGGGGCCCGCAGGTGGATGCTCCGCTGGGGCGGTCCGGATGCCATTCCCTGATTCCTCCGGAGGAGGGAGGGGATGGAGACTGGGATGTGGATGGGAACTGGGATGGGATGGAGATTGGGGCGAGAACTGGGATGGAGATTGGGATGAGAGCTGGGATAGGATTGGGATGAAGATTGGGATAAAAACAGGGATGGGATGGGATGGGATGGGATGGGGATAAAGATTGGGATAAGAACTGGGATGGGATGGGGATTGGGATGTGAGACGGGATGGGATGGGATGAAGATTGGGATAAGAACAGGGATGGAGATTGAATGAGAACTGGGATTGGATGGAGATTGGGATGAGAACTGGGATGGAGATTGAATGGGAACTGGGATGGGATGAGGGTGGGAATGAAGATTGGGATAAGAACAGGGATGGGATGGGGATAAAGATTGGGATGAGAACTGGGATGGGGATGAAATTGGGATAAGAACAGGGATGAAGATTGAATGAGAACTGGGAATGAAGATTGGGATAAGAACAGGGATGGGATGGGATGGGATGAGGATGGGGATGAAGATTGGGATAAGAACAGGGATGGGATGGGGATAAAGATTGGGATAAGAACTGGGATGGGATGGGGATTGGGATGTGAGATGGGATGGGATGGGATGAAGATTGGGATAAGAACAGGGATGGGATGGGGATAAAGATTGGGATAAGAACTGGGATGGGATGAGGATGGGGATGAAGATTGGGATAAGAACAGGGATGGGATGGGGATAAAGATTGGGATGAGAAGGGGGATGAAGACTGGGATGAGAACTGGGATGGGATGAGGATGGGATGGGGATAAAGATTGGGATGAGAGCTGGGATGGGATGGGGATGAAATTGGGATAAGAACAGGGATGAAGATTGAATGAGAACTGGGAATGAAGATTGGGATAAGAACAGGGATGGGATGGGGATAAAGATTGGGATAAGAACTGGGATGGGATGGGGATAAAGATTGGGATAAGAACTGGGATGGGATGAGGATGGGGATGAAGAGTGG